GCCCCCCCAAACCCCCACTGACCCCCCCTGACCCACATCCAGCACTGAGACCACCCTGTCTGCCCCTGGAGACCCCCACAGAGCACAGACACTCCCCCAGGACCCCCAAACCCTCACTGACCCCCCCACCCCACATCCAGCACGGAGACCCCCTCATCTGCCCCTCAGGACGCCCAGAAATCAGAGAGACCCCCAAACCCCCCCCAGAGCCCTGCAAAGCCCCCCCAGACCGCCCGTGACCCCCCCAAAGCCCCCCCCGGGCTCACCCACGTAGTGCAGGACGTCTCGGGGGGTGAAGGAGGGGGGGGGCAGGGTCATGCCCAGCCCCTCCTGCCGGGACACCAGGATGGGGACGCTGAAGCTGTTCTCCTCCAGGTACTCCACCGTCAGCTGGGCCCCCCCCGGCCGCAGCAGCACCTCGTCCGCACTGCGGGGGGGCCACGGGCCCCCTGAGCCCCCCCCCAGAACTGACCAAAACCCCTCAGGGAGGCACAGGGGACCCTCCAACCCAGCACAGGGCCCTCACCCGGGGAAGGGGCTCAGCTGGGATAAGACCCTCCCCTGGGGGTGTCCCCCCTGCTTTGGGGGTGTCCCCCCTCCCCTGGGGGTGTCCTCCCTGCCCCAGGGGTGTCCCCCCTCACCTGGGGGATGTCCCCCTGCACTGGGGGCTGTGTCCCCCCTCCCCTGGGGGTGTCCCCCCTCCCCTGGGGGTGTGTCCCCCTGCCCCAAGGGTGTCCCCTCCCCCGGGGGTGTCCCCCTGCCCTGGGGCTCTGTCCCCCTCCCCTGAGGGTGTCCCCCTGCCCCGGGGGGGTCTCCCCTGCCCTGGGGTTGTGTCCCCCCTCACCTGGGGCTGTGTCCCCCCTCCCTGGGGGATGTCCCACCTCACCTGGGGATGTCCCCCTGCCCTGGGGGTGTCCCTCCCTCCCCTGGGGGTGTCCCCCCTCACCTGGGGGGTGTCCCCCTTCCCCTGGGGGTGTCCCCCTCTCCCGGGGGTGTCCCCCTGCCCTGGGGGTGTCCCCCATCCCCTGGGGTGTCCCCCTCACCTGGGGGTGTGTCCCCCTCCCCTGAGGGTGTCCCCCTCACCTGAGGGTGTCCCCCCTGCCCCGGGGGTGTCCTCCCTCACCTGGGAGTGTCGCCCCCTCCCCTGGGGGTGTCCCCCCTGCCCTGGGGGCGTCCCCCTTCCCCAGGGGTGTCCCCTTCACCTGGGGGTGTCCCCTGCCCTGGGGGTGTCCCCCCTCCCCCGGGGGTGTCCCCCCTCACCTGGGGAAGGTGCGTCCCCGCAGCTCCCGGATGAACTGGGCGCTCCCGGTCCGGGCCGGGCGGCTCCCGGGGGGATCCTGATCCGGAGCCTTGGGGGGACCCCGGCGCCGCTTCACTGCGGGAACAGGGACGGGTGAGGGAACCCCGGGAATGCTGGGACAGGGAATACACGGATACACACGGCTGTGGGAACGGGGGGGGGACAGGAATACAGGGATACAGGAGATACAGGGATACAGAGGAACATAGGAATACAGAAAGACACAAAAATACAGGGATACAGAGGATACAGGGATACAGAGAAACATAGCAATACAGAGAGACACAGGAATACAGGGATACAGGGACACAGAGGAACATGGGAATACAGAGAGACACAGGGATATGGCGGATACAGGGACACAAACGGACACAGGAATACAGGGGACACGGATGCAGAGAAACACAGGAATACACAGGGATGCACGGGATACAGGGATACAGGAGAACACAGGAATACACAGGAATACAATGGACACAGAGACACAGAACAAAGCAAGGGAACACGAGGAGCACAGGGGGACACAAGGACACAGGGGGACAGGGATACAGAGGGATACAGGGGACACAGGGATACAGGGGGACACAGGGAGGCAGGCACAGGTGGATCCCTTGAGAACACCCATGGATACAGCAGGAACACACGGATACAGAGCTGGGAACAGAGGAACTGGCTGGAGTCAAGGACACATGGACACAGAGGAATCCAGGGACACATGGACACAGAGGAATCCAGGGACACAGAGGAATCCAGGGACACAGAGGAATCCAGGGACACAGGGATCCACAGGAACCCAGAGACGTCCCTGTGGATCCAGAGGCACAGAGGGATGCAGGTGGATCCGGGAAGACGTGGATCCACAGGGACCAGAGGGGATCCACAGGGACCCGGGTGGACTCAGGTTTCCATGGATCCACATGGAGCTGGGGACAGGTGGATCCACAGGGACCCGGGAACATCCAGGCCCACAAGGACTTGTCTGGGCCGGAGTTTCTATGGATCCACCCGGATCCACAGGGATCAGAACAGACTCAGGAATGCACACATTCCGTAGGGGCTCGTCCAGCCCGGGGTTTGTGCGGATCCACGTGGATCCAAGAGCAGATGGATCCAGAGGAACCCATATGGACCCTGGAACACAGAGATCCACAGAAACCCAGGAACACATGGATGCACAGGGACCTGCCTGGACCTGGGATTTTGTACATTGGGAATATGAATCTGTGGAGACCCACGTGGAGCTGGATCCAGGAATACCTGGATCCACAGACACCCAGGAACCCACGTGGACCCAGGAACACCTGGATCCACAGACACCCAGGAATCCACACGGACCCAGGAAGACCTGGATCCACAGACACCCAGGAATCCACACGGATCCAGGAACACCTGGATCCACGGGCACCCAGGAATCCACACGGATCCAGGCACAGATGGATCCACGAGGACTCCCGAGGGCCTGGGTTTCTCTGGCCCCACGTGGATCCCCATGGATCAACATGGACCTGTCTGGACACGGGTCACACAGACCCCCCTGAATCCAGACACACGT